CCATTTCCTTGACGTCGGGCTACGCTACCAGTATCGCGGTAACAAGCAATGGTACGAGACACAAAATATTTATTCACATTTCAATGCTGGAGTGCTCTAACGATAGCTACTTGTGGTTTTCCAGCCAAATATAAAGAAATCGCACTATCACGCTTGAATTCCATTACGAATAACTTTTTTTTTCTGGAAAAATCTCACCAAAATGTTTTTTACGCTTGTGGTCGAAAATTGGCTCGTGAGCTGACCATATCGCAATATTCCATTCGGCAAATATTAAAAAATGAGCTCGGGGTAAAGCCATTAAAATTCCAAAAATGCAGGAACTTACATCGCAACAGAAAGAAAATAGACTCAAAACAGTTAAAGAGTTGCTTCGCTTGGCCGAAAGTGGTGAACTGCCTAATTTGGTTTTCTCCGATGAGAAAACATTCGTTGTCCAGCAGTTTGTAAACAGTCAAAATGATCGTGTTTACTTGCTAAAGAGGTCAGCTGAAAATTTGCACCTTTGGTTGACCAACAGAACTCAAGCGCCGGCCATGGTTATGGTGTGGGCCCACATAACAGTCGGTGGTCGCTTTTCGCTCGCATGAATCGACATCAGAATAAATGCGAAATATTATCGCAAAAATATTCTGGAAACATTTTGGCCGCAGACTTTGGACATTCCAATAGGACTCAGCACCATCGCACTCAGCATGCGCCACCCAAAAGTAGTTACAAAATCAGGTTCCTCGCTTCATTTTCAGCGCACAATGGCCGCCAAAATCTCCCGATACCAATCCGTTGGACTACTGTGTCTGGAGTATTTTGGAAAGCAAGGTTGACACTAAAAAATACCAAAGTGTCGATCACCTCAAGCAAGCGCTTCTCCGCGAATGGGCCAAAATACCGCAGAGCAACATTCGGGCAGCGTGTGGTGGCTTTATTGGCCGTTTGAAGGCCTAATTTGTGCCAAAGGTGACCAATTCGAACAAGTCTAAACTTATTCCAAAATGTTATGCTATTTGCTATGTAAAAATAATAGCGATTGGCTTTGGTACTTTGGTTAGCAAGAGATGATTAGATTTGAAGCCAAGAAAGGGTTTTTAAAACTCATTGAAACTTTTGGTGAGAAGTGTGCTTTGGTTTGAAAATCAATGACAAAGTACTTCAATAATTTATTTTCGAAAATTAAAATCGATTTTAATTTCTTTAAAAAATGTCAGGACGCGATGTATTACAGATTTTTCCCTCTCGAGCTAACTTCGTGTTGATGAAGCAACGCATTGCTGGTGCCACAACCGGTCTCAGTTTGCTGAAACGAAAACGAGATGCCCTCGAACTTCATTTACGACAAATTCTGAGTGAATTAAAACGAAATCAAGATCAGGTGCAGGATATCATGCAGGAAGCTCACTTTGCAATGGCTAAGGCAAAATTCCTAGGAACGGACTTTAAACCCGCCACTGTGGAACAGCCTGAGGCAGCCAATGCATTTTTGCATTTGATTAGCAATAAAATTGTTGGCATGAATGTGCCATCATTTGAATTGGTGTTGATGCCCTACAACTCGTTGCCATTGACGGGCCTGGCCAATGGAGGGCAGCAGGTCGAGGTGGTGAGAAAAAAATTCCAAAAGGCTTTACAAATTCTAGTTGCTTTGGCCTCCCTGGAATATAATGCCAAGATAATCGGAGAGGCGGTAAAACTGAATAATAGGCGTGTCAATGGTTTGGAATTTGTGGTTTTGCCCCGCTATCAAAATACCTTGAACTATATACGCGATGAACTCGATGAATTTGAGCGCGAAGATTTTTATCGCCTCAAACGTTCGCAGGCCAAGCAGAATAAGAAAAAATCCCAATTCGCTGCGGAAATGAGTAAGCGGAGCGAAAGCAAAACTGAATTGGCTCCCGTGGATATTGACTTGGCAGACTGGACCGCCGATCAACCGGATATAAAACAAATGGGCCTGAAGGTGGATCCCACGGTGCCAGTGACCCGAAAAACCTTTGTCAGTTTGAGGGGCAACACCGTCGTTCTTATGCCGGAAGAGAACATGAAACCTGTCATCATTAAGGGGCGACGCCAGAAATCACCCTCCACCTCCAAGAGTGCCGACAAAATATCCAAAAGCAAAAATGTTGTCACTGCCTCACCCTCTTCATCGGAAACTTCCATGTCATAGTCCATAGTCCGCCCCAGTGTATGTTGTTTAATTTACCTTTTCATGATACGGCACAAATTTGTTGTGCGTTTTTACGCTCGATGGCCATGATTGTGCGAACCGATTAAAAAAACTCAATTCAAGTTAAAACTCATTGCCAGTTGCGTTAATTCTCATCATGGTTGGAAAAGCGAAAAAGAAAATGAAATGGAAATGGACATGTTGGCGAATTAAGTAAAAACCCGGTTGTTATTTTCGAAACTGTTGTTGTTGTTGTTGTTCATAAAATGCCATTGCGAGCTCACAATCAGATCAAATGAATGCCAAAAAAAAAAAAAATTAAATGCTGAAACTCAATTTTTCAATTACAGTGGCTCAAGGTAAGGTTGTTGTTTTGAATACTCCATTATTTCGATCAGGAAAAAAATACAATACAATATAATTGGATCTACATTTTAATCATTGAGGGATAATCGTGAAATGTTTGCAAATATTTTTTTAAGGAAAACTGTGAACATTTTCAACACAGATTTCAAGGAACATTTTTGAGTATTAACCTAAATTAAAAAAAAAAAACAAGTGTAAAAGTATCGGTCGGTTTTGCCGACAGATGTATACCCTCAGCCAATGTTCGATTATTTTATACTTCTGCCATGAATTTTCAAACTTTTGACCCTTTATGGAGTGAGTTTTGAAAGAATGGGTCTATTGTCCATTTCGTATCGGACCTAAATAAATATGATATAAATTTTATTATAAATATATAAAAAAATCGAACATTTAAAAAAATCGAAATCATAAATCCTATATGCATATCAGTATTCTGGTTGAGAGACCTATATTTAGATATAGCAAGTTATAAAAAATCGCTGAGTTGTTTGCAATTTATGACAGATAAAATTATTGAAAATTGTGTCCCTTTGTGGGTGAGGCACCAGAAGGGGTTTGCAGATATATAGCATCTTCACAAAAGATCTTGTAGTGGGCCGATATTGTCCATCTGGTGTTAAGACCCTGGGTTAATAGGAATATTGGGATGTGTGAAATTTGAAGGCAGTCGGAATCTTACATCACATTTTATGAAAGTTGTAATTATTCAAAATTTTTACCATTTGTGGGGGAGGTACTTGATGGAGTTGACAAATATTGTCCATTTTCACACCTGGCCTAGCACTGACACAAATATTAGGATTTGCAAAGTTAGAGCGAAATCGGATTATCGTTTTTCTTTCTGTACAAAAAATATATATTTTTTAAAATTTCGACCATTTGTGGGAGAGATAACAGAAGGAGTGGACCTATCTATTTAATCTTAACACCTCACATTGGGTTAATATAAATATAAGAATGTGTGAAATTTGAAGACATTTTATAAGAGTTGTAATTATTTGAAATGTTGACCCTTTGTGGGGGAGGTACCAGAAGGAAAAGACCGATATAGTCAATTTCCGCACCAGATCTAGTAATAACGCAAATATTAAGATTTGCAAAGTTGGAGTATAATCGGATTATCTATTCTTTTTCTGTGCAAAAATATTTTATTTTTCTTTGAAAATTTCGAACATTTGTGGGGGAGGTACCAAAAGGAGTAGACCGATAATGTCCATCTTCGAACTCGATCTAAGTTTGGCAATAATATTAGGATGTACCAAGTTTGAACCAAATCGGATGCTCCCTTCGAGAGACGGACGGACATCGCTGGATCGACCTCGGAACCTCACCCATAAAGGGTCAACAGTTTGAATAACCATAACTCAAGGCTGGAGTTATACATCTGTCGGTAAAACCGACTGATACTATTTTACTTGCTCTTTTCGGAATCTCTCCCTCAATAACTCTGATTTTGAAGATTTTTATACTCTCCACCTTAGAAAGGAGGGTATATTAACTTTGTCATTCCGTTTGTAACATGTCTAACTATTCGTCGTAGACCCCATAATGTATATATTCATAATCAGCATAAAATTCTAAGTCGATTTAACAATCTCCGTCTCTCTGTTGAAATCACGATACAGGCCACATTATTTGACGTAGAGCATCAAAATTTAGCAGTATAAATTTTGGATGGTTGGTATTGAAAATGACATATATCGGTCCACGTTTTGGTATAGTCCCCATATAACGGTACCTCCAGTTATTCGGTATTTTGATGATTTTTGCCACATTTCTTTGCGGATTTGTCTAAAAATTGGCATTTGTGTGTTCTAATGGGTTCTAGCTCCGTTGGCGAAACATTGAATATATAGGTTCACGTTTTTGTATAGCCCCATATAGCGGTACCTCCCGATATCGATATTGATATTGCCACATTTTTCCACGAATATTTCTAAAAATTGGTATTTGTGGGTCATAATGGGTTCTAATGTGTCCTTCACCCTAAGGTGGATGGTATTAAAAGTTCGTCCCGGCCGAACTTAATGTTTTTTTTTTTTTTATTTGTTTAAATATGCATTTTTAAAGAAACATCCTTACTAAAACTACGGTGCTTTTACAGCTCTAATCCTAAAATTTAAAAAAAATTCGGCAGTTACTTTTATGTAAATTTTTATACCATCAGCCATATGGAAAGAGAGGCTATATATCATTTGATGCGGCCAAAACGTGCCTCGGCGAAATAGCGGTTTTAGACCCTAATCCGTTTCAGGATATTTGGAGTCGATTTAGCGATGTCTGTATGGTGCATACGATAGCTCTCGAAGAGAGTATCCGATCTGATACAAATGTTGTGCGTCGTAATATTATTATCAAAATTAAATTGAGTTCGGAGATGGACAATATCAGTCCACTGCCTCTGGTACCTCCCCCATAAAATGTCGAATTTTTCAAAAAACAAGTACAATATTACTTGACAGATGTATACCATCAGCCAATGTTCGATTATTTAAATATAGTTTGACTTCTGTTATGATTATTCAAATTGTTGACTCTCTATAGAGTAGGTTCCGAAGAAATAGGCAAATTTTGTCCGTAGACCGACGTCAAGAAAGTGAACGAAAGAAAACAGCAACATCAGCTGAAATGATTCGAAAAGTACAGAAGCGACTTGATCGAAACCCGCGTCGCAGTGACCGAAAAATGGCTCGTGAGCTGACATATAGCAAATTTCCATTCGGGAAATATTTAAAATGAGCTCGGAGTAAAGCCATATAAATTCTCCGATGAGAAAACGTTCGTGTTTACTTGCCAAAGAGGTCAGCTAAAAATGTGCACCTTCGGTTGGTCATCAGAACTCAAGCGCCGTAAGCGGCCAAGTGATGGTGTGGGCCGCCATAACAGCCGATGGTTGCTCTCCGCTCGTATTAATCGACGTTGGAATCAGAATAAATGCCGAATATTATAAAGCCTTGGGCATGCAAACATTTTGGCCACAGACCTTGGACATTCCGACAGGACTCTGTTCCATCGCACTCAGCACGCGCCAACCAAAAATGGTTACAAAATGAGGTTCCTCGCTTCATTTCCAGCTCACAATGGCCACCAAAATCTCCGGATACCAATCCGTTTGACTATTGTGTCTGGAGTATTTTGGAAAGCAAGGTTGACCCTAAAAAGTACTAAAGTGTCGATCACCTCAAGCAAGCGTTTCTCCGGGAACGGACCGAAATACCGCAGACCGACATTCGGGCAGAGTGTGACTGTTTCATTGGGCGTTTTAAGGCCATAATTCGTGGCAAAGGTGACCGATTCGAACAAATCTAAATTAATTCTTAAACTGAATGATATTTCCGATATGTTTTGCTTTCATTCAATAAAATTTAAAAAAAATGTTTAAAAATTATGGCGATTGATTTTGTTGCAGTTTTTTTATCTCACCCTGTATATCCAATATTCATATAACGGTACTTCTCTGCATGGTGGAGAATATTAAAAGGTTCGATCAGGCCTGGAATCGTAATTTAATTTTTACATAATTTTTCCTCCTTGCAGCCGCGAATTCTTTAAATGTTGCTTTTTAAGGGCAATCCACACTGCAATAGCAGAGTTTGTATTTTTTTTAATCGCGGAAAAAAATAAGGAATATCCCTTCTGTTTTTAGATAACTTTGAATGCAAACTTTCAAAACAAGTGTCTTCTATTTCTTCTTCCACACGTTAAAAATGTACTGAGTTTTTTTTTATATAATATTTTTTTTCGAAGAACAGTGTAATCTTTCGTTTTATACATTTTTCGGAAATATGTGTATAATTTTGGAAACACTGCCGTTAAAATCAAGGTATCATCAACGCATTTTGTTCTTATTCGGGTTTTCCTATTAGTACCATGACAGCTTCTCTATATTTCATGTCCATAAGCATCAATGTGCATGTGTGTGTGAGTGTCGTTCCCATGGACATTCGTGTTTATATGTATTTATATCTTCCACGCCAACCCGCCACATTGTATTCAAAATTGTTAACAAACTGCAGTTCGTTTGGCGCTTTTTTGTGGCATTTTTGCTTGGTCATGTTAACGAACGAACGTTTTGTGGGTGGTCTCAAGCCTTGGTCATTATGCCAACGTTGAACAATGGCCAAAATGAAATAAATGTTGGTAACTGAATTGTATTTAAGTGAATACAATAACAGCAGCAACAATAGTCAGGAACTGAAAAAATAAAATGAAATAAATAATAATAGTTGTAGAGACAATGCGAAATGTAATGCAATAAAGTAGCCACGAGCTATTGTTGTTGCTTCTGCTGTTGTCAGATTCAACAATGGCCCTAGACATTTGCGTAAAATTGGAGGGACCTGTTATAAAAATAAAAAAAACAACTATTTGAGTGGTTAATGGCCATCATGACTTTACCAAAATTGCATTGCAGGTCTATTGTTATTGCCGAATGTGATGGTGGAAATTTCGGAGGTTATGCGGGGTAGGTAGGTGATGAATGACACAGCATGGATTGTGAAAAACAACAGCTGCCAGAGGCTATTTTACATAATTTTTGATTTGTCTTTAATATTTCTATAGCATACTTTTAGGCGCTATCGTCATTTTGACCCATTTCCATGGACTTTCCTCAAATGGTTTGTTAATGTAATCTAATCGGTTCAAAATTTAAGAAATTAACAATGCCCACCACCTACCTCACCTCACCCTGTCCATCAAGGCAGTGGCAATCAACACCAGATTCAATTTGTCCTCATCTTCGTATGTATATGAGTGCCTATGCACATGTGTTTAGTTATGTTAAACTAGCATTAAAGCTATCATGGAATTAGGACAATCTTCTGTTGAAAATGTAAATTGTCGGTTGGTCAGTTGGCTGGCTGGAGAAAATTACAGGACTTTGGCGGAAGATTTTGTGGTTTCGAATGTCAGAAGACTTTGAGGTCTTTTATAGTAGAAGACCTTGTAATCTTCTATGGCAG